GCTTCTTGTCAGTCCTCTGTATCGGTGCCTTCCCACCAAATTTGCATGAGAGCTTTACCGAGTAGTATCTGAGTGCCGTCTTGGCCATGTTGACTCGTTTGGGCGCACGCTTCTTGGCTGACTCCAGTGTGCGCACATCCCGCTTCCAAAGTTCACAGTAGTTGGCATACTGGTACTGCTGTTGTGCCTCCTCCAGCTCCTCCAGAGTATCAAAGCGTTTGCCCACCTGGAAGAAGGCATCCTCACTCCCTGGCTCCTCCTCAAAGCACTCCCCTGCTTGCTGCTCCTCATACTCTTCCTCCTCATCCTCATCCCTGTTTGAGCTGCTCACTCCATCACTGTCACAAGATGAGATCTCTTCCTGGTACAAGGAATGGCAAGTCAACAAGTGTCTGGTATTGTATATACATGTATCTTAACATTATCATAATTAATGCATTAGTTTTAAAATCTCTTTGCAATCTTAAGAATCTTACTACTGTTTTGCTCCCACTGAACTTTTTTTTGCTTTTGCATTATAAAGATGGAGAAAATATCGAACAACTGACCTTCAGCGAAATTTCCAGATAGTCCTCCATTATCCTTGTTTTTTATTTTTCTCTCACTCAAGATGAATTCTATTGCTGTTTGAGTTTATCTGCAACAATGATTTGGTGATAACCTGCTCTGATTGTTAATCCATCAAATACAGTAACCATGTAATCAACTTTATGAAGTATTTCACATCTAAAAACAATGTTCACAATAAAAACAACAAATTGATTTAACTAATTAACCAATCATTGTAATTCTATGCAGTAAGCTGCTCATTGTTAATACTAACAAATTGGGTATTGCATCTGATGTATAGAGTCCAGATTTCATACTGGCAGTATTGGCCTTAATTAGAGCAATGTGGTGACAAGCAATTTATAGACTTCCCTTATAATTTATTGCTGAGTGAACTGTCCAAGCTTGGTCAAACATGTGGAAGTTTGCTTGCTTTTCCTGGAGTGCTATAGGTGCAAAGGCCACAGCAATGTTGTAGAGTTCACTATTTAAAAGACTTTACTGTTGTTTATATATTTTTACGCTTATCCCACAATTTCCCTGGTATGTTCCACTCCCTCCCCAGTCATTAAGGCCAAAATCATCATTACAGTTGGTTTCACTGGAACATATCCAAACTGTAGACAGTGAAAGCAGCTCATTGTCAGCAAATTCATCAGTATCAATGTGGCCTTTGTAGACAATTGCTGCTGCCATGACCAATATTAGGTCTGTAGTTTGTTTTTGTGAATCTAAACTGGAAATTCCTATCATATGATTTGTGTCACAAATACTTAGAAAACTGGTACTGCTATTGCATATGACATGTACTGTCCATTTATAATAATAACAATAATTATGATCATAAATTAGCTTTATTCAATGGATATTCTTGGTGTGACATGCTGTTTTATTATGCTTCTACATTACTCCCTGTCTGCAAGGGATGGCCAAGGTTACCATCCACTGGCAGCGAGGGACTGGAATGGAGCAGGATTGCTAGACTAGGTTGCTACCGCAGTGCCACATAGTTAACACTGACCAATTACAATGATGACAATGAGATCTAAAAGCTCTCTAGTGCCAGAATATACAATGAAGATTTGTTGGACATTTGTCAAAGTGCTAAAGATACAAAGGCCACATGACTGCTTGATGCTGCATCCCTTTACCCCTTAGAACTGGATGATGTGACCATCACATCATGAAAAAATTTAGTTTGAAGGGCAGGTAAGATAACATGCCATCATGGTAGTATTTGGTTGAGAGCTTGGTTGACAGGAACTTGCGGTCATAAGAAATTCTGCTGAAGGCCAGGGTGATGGGAATGACTTGTCATGAGAGCACAAAGCTCTTGGAGGATGAGAAGACTTATTGAGCATTTAGGAAGGGGCTCTTGTATCATTCCTATCAGTAAATGAATGTAGAATGTACCATCTATGAGCTATAACTCGAAGAGTACAGGCTTCAAGGAGGACACTTATTGCCATGCTCAGGATCCTATTCCTGCCAACCATGACTTGCAGCACAGGCTGTATTACAAAAAACAGAAAAAGATATAACATGGCAAAGGGGAGGTAAGGGGTCTTGACACTGTACATGTGCTCATGTTCATCATATGCTACTGGCCTACAAGCCACACACCCATGAAAGATTTTGGGCCATGTGCGGGCAGCAAAGCACCCAGATCCAAGGGGTTAATTACTGCCAATAACAACAAACCTTGAAACAAGGACTTTGCAGAATGAAAGAAATGTTTTAGTAACTAAAAAAAAAAAAAATCTCCAGAAAGTGAAGTGAGCCTACCAAGGAGTCAATTACAATGGCCAACTGTTCTCATGTATTTACCTTTTCCCTTGAATTGTCAAGTGACAAAGAAATTATTCCTGTTACCTTAATTATCATCCACATGAAATCTACTCTAGGCTTGCAAGTAACAGATGACAGGCTGTCACTGATGTAACTGCAGCAAATGCTTGACTTTCAGATTTATTTATCTCTCAACTCTTATCCTGGTAGTCCAGTACATAAGAATAACCCTTTGTCAATAGATAAAGATGAAGTATCTCAATCTCTGCTTTTATTACAAATAATGAGGTGTAGTATGTAACAGACCAACAAACTCAAGATCTAGTGCAAATCACAAGTTTTCATATAATGGCAAAATCTTTTCCTTGAATTTCCCCTTAAATTTTCCTGAGAGAGAGAGAGAGAGGAGTGAGGGGTACTTGAACAGCAATAGTAATTTCATTTCACAAGGAGGAAACCATCAAACAGACCCAGGACTACCATGAAAATACGTTTACCAATAAATATGAGAAATGAAGCATTCACTACAATCACATCAGCAACAGTCAATCACCAACCACAATTACTATAACTGATATTAATCCGAAGCTGCAGAGGATGGCATGTACAAACATGCCATGCCCACTGTGATTTAAACTTATTAATTGTTTTTACACATAGATAGCCACACCTGTTTACTGTTTTCCTTGATTTTCAAAAATATTTTTGGGTATCTAATGTTGCTGTCAGTATCATCAATAAAAATGATGTAATACTGTTAAAAAAGCATCAGTATTGAAGGCAATATTAGAAAGTGTTTTTCCTGCAAACTCAAGGAAAAGTGAAATTAGGAGACATCAGTAGACTCTACTAACTGACTCCTTTGTGGCTAAGCTCTTGCAGAGCCACATATGTGCAGAGACATTTCACAAAACAATACTACAGTGAACACACATTTTTCCCAGAGGCACAGGATCAATAGAACACATAAATCTATGAGTTTTCTCCTCCTTAAACATTTGGCACAAATGTATATCAATGGTGCTACTCATTCTGAAATTCTCCATTTCCCCCATACCTATTTTAATTATCATTTTTTATAGTCATGCAACAATCTTGCAAGGGAGACAGGGATGAACAACAGTGTGTGGACTCCCTTTCTTCTTAACCCATTGTTGCCGGGGGAAATGAACAAAAAATAGGGAAAATTCTGTACTCATTTTTTATATTTTTGTGAAATATCTCTGTACATAGATGGCTCTGCTAGTCCTGATTTCACCTTTCCTTGAATTGGCAGGAAAAAACATATTCTTACTAGTGCTATAAATATAGTTGGTGTTATTTTTAACAGCAAATTAGGATAACGTTAAATAATTTCGTAAATCGATGAAAAGGGTGAACGGGCGAGACATGCAGTACTCGTAATTGGCTCATTGGATACTTAGTACAAGCGTAGCCATCTATGTGTAAAAACAATCTAACAAGTCGACTCACAGTGGGCATGGCATGTACGTACATGCCATCCTCAGCGGCAATGGGTTAATAATGTAACTGAATGATAACAGTTCTCACACAAAATTACCAAACCAAACCGAATTTCAAACCGAAGCCCTTCTTGCTATGTTCCCTATCCTTAACCACACAATGATTCCAAACATCATAACTCTGAGCCCCCCCCCCCCACTTAGGAAACTTACTTTTTAAATTTTTTTTATTAAGTAATGTCATTAATATGCATTTCTGCCAAATGATTACAGAGAAGGAAAATCTTAGACTGATGTGTTCTATCAATATCTGGCATTAAATAACAGGTACGTATATGCAGCGTAATAATGAAGACTACACAAAAGTTCTCTATCTTTTATTTTGGTTATCACTAACTATACTAGGATTATCACCATTGTTACTTATGCAACAGTACTAATAATTCTAGTACTAGGAATTTCAATAGAATGAAAATATTCAAGAAGAGGGATAAACAGGTAAAATCAAGCAGGCCTCAAACCCGAGTCCTCGGTGACCTAGCACTTATCTGAACAAAATTTATAAAACAAAACCACAGCGGATGGCTTGAACAATGCAAGGAAGATTCTGTTTTCAAGAACCTAAAAATCCCCCCTTCCCCAAGGCTGTGGGGCAAATCTGGCAAAGTTGCATCTTGCAAGAAAGGGCAACCTGGATCTCACAAGGATTTGCCGTCCTGCAATACCCAATTCATTAGTATCACCAACCTGCAGTTTCAGTGCAAAATACCCAATTCATCTACAGGCAATCAACTTCAGACACTACAGATGATGATCAATCAACTATTACATTTGCTGTCACATATTAACTGAACCAATTTTCCTATGGCATGAACCACATTCCATACATTATCAGGGCGAAACGTGGGCATAAATAACGCCTGCTTGGTAAAAAGACGATGATCGGAGTCCGCTGGCAACTGGTGTGGGGATTAGAAATGGCTGACCGGCTGCCGGCTACGAAAGACACAATTTCAAATCTCTTGTGAGGCTTTTTTTTTCCTGCTCTAATGTCATTTCGGAGGACTGGCCGTGGCGAATGAAAAGTCGGAAACATGTGCAAATAAACAAATATATGTGCATATCGTATTATTTTCCTTAGATCAAAACAAAAACATAAAAAAAAAACAAAAAAAAACACAAACCAGATACTACGCCCTTTTGTTTATTCTCTTCTTTCTCCTTTCTCCAACCTTTCTAACTCTTACCTTTACATACATTTTTCTTGTCATTACTTACCGCTTATTGTAACCAAGGCAGACGTAGCGACGAGGAAGAAAAACCCCAATACAGAATACGACTTTGAATCTTCGTTACATCAAAATTACGCGCCGTTGCCTCTTCTTCGGTCCAAGATGGCGGCCCTTGGTGTTGCTAGGGATCTTTCGTGTAAATTTGCGGGAGGGTGAGAGGATTCCGTGTCTTTTGTATTAAGTATCTTAAAGAGAATAATTGGTTTAATTTGGTTATTTTGTTTTTATACGGATATATATTGTCTGTGCTAAAGGAGTGATATGTGTTCGCGTATGTAAAAGGACCATTGAACGAGGATTTTTTTTCTTCTTAGAAAGGGTAGAGAAATTTGAATACAAAATTTAAATGTAATATAATTCGCAAAAAAAATCAGTGTGAAATAACATACCATTATAGCTGACTTTTTTGTTTCACTACAGGAAAAATATCCTATTCGAAAGCTTTTTTCCCAAAGCAAAATTAATCATTAATTCACACCAAAGACCCAAATATATTTAAAACCCCAAACAAAAACAACAACATACAAAATACATACTAATAAATGAAAAAGAAAGTTTTAGCCCAGCAGTGAATTTTGTGTTTGTTTACATCGGCTCAAAACGCTGAGTGAACCGTGGAGACAGCGACTCACATTTTATTCGTTTGAGGTGAATTTACAGCTTATTTCAGCCATTCTTTATTTTTTTCTCCTTCAGAAGGAAATGTAGGGGGATGTAGATGGAAGGATATAATACGGAAATACTAAGAAAGTTCATTTTCCTACGATAAGAAAACAGATTTGGGATTACCTACTAAATATATCATAATTTTTGACAAGTACCCGGCCCTCACTTTTTTTTTTTTTTAATATTCTTGTTTAATTTTCTGTCGGGCGAACGTTACTAATGTTTCTGGGAGAGATTTTGAGCCATATCGAAATCCTCAATATTCCTCAGTGGGTCTACGGTAGGCCTACTTGATATAGCACGCTAATTTTCCAGTATTTCTCTAATTTAATGTAAGTAAAACAAAATCATAACTATTATAAATTGGAAAGCCTTCTTTATTTAATTAAGGTTATAATGTAAGTCATGATAGATATAAGGGTATTACATTATATATATTTTCTTGAAGCTGTTGTCTAGACTATCTGAAATACTGGTGGATTTCTATATGATTTTCGAGCATGTCAAGTATACTAAGTAGATATTAACTAACAAGTTTCAGCTCTTTTGATATAAAAATGATTGCAAAATGTGCATTTTCTAGAAGGATTAGATAAAGTCACTCATGATTTACTGGTTTAGAGTATGCACCAGTTAGGGGAATAAAGCAGTCAGGTTTGGCAATACCCTCAGGTTAGGAGTGATTTTGGTTCATGAGGTTATTTTTGTAGTTTGTGCATTTAAGATGCAGTTCATTCACCTTAGTTTCTGACATATGTGGCCATGTTGCAAATTTTTGCCAAAGTATTCATTATAGTATAGTTATCAAATACCTAATTGTCATTTATTTCCCTAATAGAATATTTCATGCAGACTGTGAGCTTCCTTTTACTTTTTCTTGTGGCAATTTAGTAGTAGAATATATTTTATCTGAAGAAAATATGTACATAAAATCATAGTAGCCTCCCATTTTTGCGTGGTATGTCTTATTACTATCAGTCTTATATTTATAGGGCTATCTTAACCCGTTTCTGCCGGGCCATGCCTTGCAGGTGTCACAACAAACTGCTCGATCTGTAGAGTGTGGCTGTATGCCAGGCGTTCAGCTTGATAGAGCAAACCCCTACGCCCAAAGTCGGCTCATTGCCATTAATCTCCAGGGCATAAAATTTTTATTTATTTTCTTTGACTGGCAGTAACAAGTTAAGCCCCCCCCCCCCAAAAAAAAAGGGGGGGGGGTATCAAGAATTTGGTCCCATGTTTACCAACAGTTTACTTGCTTTTGTCATTCATCTTATTCTCCCTCCGTCAGTGTTAGGTAATCACATGGCGGTATAGAAGAGTGAATCAAAGTGTGAGAAGGGGATGTGGCAAACAAGGGTGATGTGGCACTGCAGTGGTGTTTGCATGGCCCTATTTAACATTTAACCCAATGGTGATGGGTGAAGAAAACAAAAAACAAAAACTCTACACTCTGGCAAACAATGGCGGCGCGCCGACTTTGAGCACGTGAGTTCAGTACATCAGCCTGAATCACTGGCTCACAGCGCTATGGCGCGCCACCGTGGCATACAACGGCATGCCAGCTTTCAAGCAGTTTGTTTTCACGCTTATTGGCGTCACCCATTGGGAAGGGGTTAAGAAAAATGTCTAATATAAAGCCAGTGAATATAAGCTGTGGTTTTGTAAAGCTATGACCATCTATTCCCTGGGCACTAATAAAGGCCAACAAACTTCCACAATCTGTATTCCGGCAAAATGGAGTATAGACTGGTTTCTTATTTGTGGATAATCTGTCATGGCAGAATACATAATAGAGGTTTGATGACCTTTGCTGGAATGCAGACAGTCATGGAGGCCAAAGTAATCACCTGAGTCACAGCATATTTAAACTTGCCAAAACAAAACAAAGAAAATATACATGTAAATATGCATATACTTTATATCAATATCTTAAGCCAATTGGTATGGATGACAAGAATACATGCCTTGCTCGCTGTAATATAAGTTTATTTATTGTAGTTACGCACAGATGGCTCAACAAATACTTAATCACCAAAGAGTCAGTTAGTAGTCCTACCTACCTCACCTGTTTGGAAAGGGTCTTTTGCATTATTTCATTGTCTCAAATATTACCAAGATTTTAATATCATCAATAACAATAATAACAGTATTGATATAATTGTATTAAAAAGAAAAACACATTTTCCCACCAATTCAAGGAATGGGGAACCCAGGATCGGTCACTAGAGCCTACTGAAATACTCCTTGCTGGCTGAGCACATTTGGAGCCATCTTTATGTAACAAAATTCACCAAAAACTACAGGGGACAGAACATAAATCTATGGTGGTTGGGTTAAAAGTGTTGATCATATTGTTTTCGAACTTTTGAGGAATGGAAATGTTTTTTCTATAATCTACATTTAATAATGTAATCTGTTTGACTACATCCATAAATGTATCTTTGTTCTGTGCATCTTTTAAGTAAATCTAATAAGTGTCATTTCAATAATATAAATTGATGTCAGTTTTTGTTTCCTCCCAAGGCAGGTGAACCACAAACGCAAGCATGGATCACATGCTGCCTTCCCCGGGGTTCAGCATCCCCAGCATCGGGACGCCGTTGCAGCACTCACAGGAAGAGGAGATGATCCTCCCAGCGGCCCAGCAGCAACAACAACAGCAGTCTGCACAGCAACATAGCCAACAGCAGCAGCAACAGCAGCAGGGGCAGCAGATGGGGCAGCAGCCACAGACCTTTGGCAGTGGGTTCACGCCACACACCTTAATGCAGCCACAGACACCAGTTAGTTTGTGTGTTATTTCTTAAATCTACAAAATTATTATTATTACCATCATTGTTATTAGGAGTTGTTATTATTACTGTTATCAATGGCAGTAGTAGTAACAATAATAGTTTTTTTTTTATATACATTTCAAGTACATTGAGTCTTAGCTTCATACATTTAATGTAAATCTTAATATATCACACTATATTGGTATATCATAACTTCACACAGTTGCTCTCTCTCTTAGCAAATATATATATCCATACCCGGTGTGCACTGTTATACCTACTACTCTCCCTCTCTACAGAGTATGATGTCTCCAGCTGTGGGCGGAGGTTCCCAGGTTGGGGCTGGAATGTTTGGTTCAGCCACAGGGCCTTCCACGCCCATAGGAGGGCCCATGACCCCCATGACCCCACACTCAGCTGATCCTGGAATTGTTCCACAGCTACAGTGAGTAGAAGCCAGGGTGCCAGACTCTTATGATTGGTTAGGTTTGATATGGTTTTATTGACAAGTGAAAGAGTTGTAATAAATGATTTTGATTTAGGGGGTATATTGCTATAATAACTGTGATGGAATTGATTGTTTTTATTTGTAAAGACTTAAAACTCTTTTTTATTGATAGTCATGAGGGAAGTAATGATTACAGTGATAACCAAACAAGGGAAATAATCTTTTAATTAGATTGCAACAATAGGGAAAAAATGCTTTGTATATTATAGTATTTACATGTCTTGGAGTGACAGAAATGTAAGTGCAATTCAGAGAATTTCCAGATGTATCAAATATACATTAACAATTACTGTGAATATGGTGGACGCTAAGATTTTGGATCAGTTGCTCAGTATAGTCAGACATGATGGATCCTTAAAGATGTGAACATGAACCACCTGAAGAGTACCAGAAGTAATGCTACAGAATACTGATTTGTGAAATGTCTGTTTCGGAGCACTTTTAACCCCTTCCCGACGGGTCACGCCTTTAGGGGTGAAAACAAACCGCTCAAAATGTGGCGTGCGGCTGTACACCGCAGCCGTGCGCCAAAGTGCGGCAAACCGGTGATTCAGCTTGATGTACCGGACTCCTGCATTCAAAGTCGGTGCGCTGCCATTGATCGCCAGTGCGTAGAGTTTAAAAAAAAAATTTCTTAACTCGTCACCAGGGGGTTAAAAACAAATAAAGATATATCTAAAATTGTTAATGAGTTATTGAGAATAAGGACATTTTCTTACTAACCTCTATATTGTAGGTTTTTCTTCTTTTCCTGCTTTTGCTGAGTGACCAAGGTAGAAATTTGTCTACAGTGTCTACAGTAGATCACTTCTATATTTACAGGAACATCGTGTCAACAGTAAACCTCAGCTGCAAGTTGGAGCTGAAGAAAATCGCACTCCACGCTCGTAATGCAGAATATAATCCCAAGCGATTTGCCGCAGTCATCATGCGTATTCGAGAACCTCGAACGACAGC